GAATATTATTTATGATTTTAACGTCTTACCTCATTGTTTATATAAATGTTTATATATAAACCAGAAACTGTGAAATAAATTTGAAATTCAAAATTATGCCTCCGTTACCAGTACTCGTTGTCATTCTTAAGTCATAATGAATAATGTCTGTGGCCATAGCACCAGAATGCGTTGGGGATATTACATGTACAAGAGAAAAGCTAGACGCTGACGTAAAATTCGTCAGCAACAAGGAGAATCAGTTACGGGTTAGGAGTTGAGTTCTTGAATCCACAACGACTAAACTCCAACTGTTTTTCGCTATCTGCAGCCAGTTGTGGGAAGGCAGTTACCCTTAAGGGTTAGAAATAGCTTTAATGTAGAATTTAATGTGTAATGGTAACGGAGGCATAATTTTGAGTTTCAGTTGTATTATAATGTTTCCGGTTTATATTAAGTTCATTATTGGTTTATAGTGCTGATTTTAATCGCCTATGAACAATTAATGTGTTTCATAACATTAGATATGTTTATTTATTTATTTATTTATATGTATATAACGACATTGAAACTTAAACAAAGGAAAGTCAAAATTTCTCTCGACATAAAAGTTACAAAAGTTCATTTAAATAACGACAGGTGGCGTCGTTCGATAAACATGTCCGTAATTCCTTTGTTGTTAAGTGCAAAGTTGCGTTCGCCGTGTCTACCACGAGGAATCGAACTCCGGATTTTAACGTTCTAATCCTTCAAGCTTACCGCTGAGCCATGGGGAAACCCATGATTCCACGCAGTCGTCGTCTTTGTTCCTTATTTTGTTTTACAGTTTATAATGCCATTCAAATGTCTCGAAAAGGAAACCTATTTAAAACACCAGAATTTATGTTTCTTTAATTGGACACTCAACGTTTCTCTTTACAGCGTCTTCGGGAGCGTTCCACTAAAACACGCACCGTAAATGACAGTACAAAGCTTCAAATGGTTTAAATAATGAATTCTAATCGAATCTATAACGTGCATATCTAGAGGGGGGTTCGTTTTTAAGTAAATTAGTGTATAAAATGTCTCTTATACACCAACTTGCACTACGAAAATTAGATAATGAATATTTTCGAAAGTTGTAGATTAAATAATTAAAAGTGATTAACCCCGAAATATTTTTTGGGCCCGGCAAGGCCAGGTGGTCAGGGCGCTCGACTCGTAATCTGTTGGGTCGCGGGTTCGAATCCCCGTCCCACCAAACATGCTCGGCCTTCTAGCCGTGGGGGGCGTTATAATGTGACGGTCAATCCCACTATTCGTTGGTAAATCACAATGCAGTTTATAATACGTTGTTGTTGTTTTTTTCTCCAGTTCCATCTCGGAGTCTTCCTGCTCCAGTCCTCACCACCATGTGTGAATTTCCTTCTTGGTTCCAAGGTCGTTGGGAGAACCTGGAAGTCAGTGGTAATAAATTTGTTTATGAAGACCATAGAAAACTCCAGGCGATCACTGCATGGTGTGTCACCATGGAAACCAACACTCCATTCGAACTTTTCCACATATATACCGTCACCCAGTGGTGAGTTACGTGAATATAGATATTGATATTTTCAATCTGAAGGGGGCGCTGGAAAGAGAGAGAGAGAAAGAAGACAAGGGAAAGTTAAGTTTTTTAGAATTTTGTTTAATTGTAGCCCAATTAATAGTCTTCGTAATTTCTTATTGATAATTTGATTAATTTCAGGCTATTTTAATAATACAATATTTAATTTGAGTCAATGTACTTAGAGTGTGCAATCTCATATTAAATAACCGTTAAGATTAAACTAGGCTTACGTTTGTTTGGGCTGTTGCTATAATGTCGAGTTGATACGTTAGATAGTAAATTAGGAGAAGTACGAGGATAGACGCTGTCACTATTATTCAACATTACAACAGAGTTAGGCCCTAAATACCTAACTTCGCTGTCTTCATTGAAAAAAATAAAATAAATTAAAATATATTGAATTAATATATATTTCAAATTATTTGGAAAAACGCTATTACTATTAGTATTATTCGATAGTAGAACAGTATTAGGCCCGTTTACTGAGAAGAAAATGTTTACCTTTAGTGTCAAAACAAACTCATATTAAATAATAAAACTTTGCGGACAGCTGTTGAGTGTATTATTTTATTTTTAGAAAATGTAAACTCATATTAAATTATATTAGACTAATTTACTCAGTTTGGGTAACTACCTACTAGGCCTAGATTTGTTCAGTTTGGGTAACTACCTACTAGGCCTAGATTTGTTCAGTTTGGTTAACTACTTACTAGGCCTATATTTGCTCAGTTTGGGTAACTACCTACTAGGCCTAGATTTTTTCAGTTTGTGTAACTGCCTACTAGGCCTAGATTTGTTCAGTTTGAGTAACTACCTACTAGGCCTAGATTTTTTCAGTTTGGGTAACTACCTACTAGGCCTAGATTTGTTCAGTTTGGGTAACTACCTACTAGGCCTAGATTTGTTCAGTTTGGGTAACTACCTACTAGGCCTAGGTTTTTTCAGTTTGGGTAACTACCTACTAGGCTTAGATTTTTTCAGTTTGTGTAACTACCTACTAGGCCTAGATTTGTTCAGTTTGGGTAACTACCTACTAGGCCTAGATTTTTTCAGTTTGGGTAACTACCTACTAGGCCTAGATTTGTTCAGTTTGGTTAACTACCTACTAGGCCTAGATTTGTTTGCCATTTTTTATTATTAGTATTATTAATTAAAGCCATTTTTATTCTAACTTACACTGAGTATTTCAGGAATAAAATAGTAGAGGGAGGAAGTAATGAAGAGAAAAAAAATGATTATTAATAAATTAATAAAATAATATATATATACGTATCATGTTTATACTCTCTCTATACATGTTAAGTTGCATTTGACTCTTAACTATGGCATAATAGGTTTTACATCTAAGGTAGAGAGCTAACAGGAAAACTTCCATAGGTATGAACTGTCCACGGTTCTAGGCAGAGAGAAACAGTGCTGCTCTGCGTGTAACCTATTTGTAACTCCAACTTAATGGCCCTCACAGTAGAGGCTAGGAGTATGTAACAACAGTGGGATGAATATTGACTCCAATGGGAGGTACTGTCCACCCCAACCCTGGCAGTCTCAGGATAATACATTTCATACCCTGTCTATTCTATCTTTTGACAGAGACATCAGCAGCAATGAGGACATTAAATTATGAACTCACACAACTTGAATGTGTAATGATGAAATGTGTCTCAAGTCACACAACTTGGACGTGTAATGATGAAATGTGCCTCAAGTCACACAACTTGGACGTGTAATGATGAAATGTGTCTCAAGTCACACAACTTGGACGTGTAATGATGAAATGTGTCTCAAGTCACACAACTTGGACGTGTAATGATGAAATGTGCCTCAAGTCACACAACTTGGATGTGTAATGATGAAATTTGTCTCAAGTCACACAACTTGGATTTGTAATGATGAAATGTGCCTCAAGTCACACAACTTGGACGTGTAATGATGAACTTTGCCTCAAGTCACACAACTTGGATGTGTAATGAGAAATGTGCCTCAAGTCACACAACTTGGATGTGTAATGAGAAATGTGCCTCAAGTCACATACTCAGAAGAGCGGCAAGAAGAAGAAGAGGAAGGAAAGACCATAAGATAAGTAAAATACAAAGAATGAACACAAAACGTGTTCGCATAATATCTTGAAATTTCTTTAGTCATAAAACAGAAAAGAACAACCATTGGAAAGGTAATGGTTGAGAAAAAAATGTCACAGTGTTTCAAGAAACAAAGCTACGAGAGAAACCATGATATGCCAGAAACGTCAAAGAGCTTTTTAAACCATCGTTAGTGACGTGAAACACACACACACACACAAAAGGATTCTCATCCTTGTAGATGTCAACACTAGATGTTGCAGAGAGATTGACAGTCATCCTGAAGATCGCTGGCAAGGAATACATCCTGGTGAGTTTGTATATCTTCTATGACAAAGGGAAAAAATGAGCTAGTTTCCTGTGTCATATCGTGAATATGGTCAAAAGAATTATCATTAGAAGTAGCCTCAATGCCCAGAATCCTATCTAGCCGATAGAACTAAGCTGTGAATGAAATGTCATTGGAGGTGGCAAATCACATAGAATAATATTCTAGCTAATAAAACTGCTTCTACAAAAATTGAAAAAAGAGAGAGAGACGAAAATTCTGACTCAACCACAGACTTCACCCTTATTATATCTGCTGTATCCATGGAGTTGATATGGAAGCTACTGACTTTAATGGGCAATGACCACAATTCCACGCTCATGCATATAACTAGGAAAGAGTCATCTCAGAAACTCACTCAGATAAGATCTTCCAGTACAGAAGGGGTTCCAGTAAATGTAGGAAGGTGGTGAGAAAAAGAACAAATGAGTCGGGAAAGTATATGTGGTATTCATTATATAATCAACTGAAATACGAGGAAGTGAAGCAAATCCGGAAATGCATGATTGAGGTAAGTAAAGCATTCACTAAAGTTAAAAGGTGTAATAACAGAGAAGGCGAGGTCAAGCAGAAAAGAACAGAATTCAATAAAGCTATCTCAACAAAAAGTAGATAAAGTAGGCAAGGAATATGGACAATGTCTAATTCAGCAGACCCCGGTATACCAAACCAATTTTGGAAACTGGAGAAAAATTATGAAAAGAGTATAAAGTGAATGGATGGTTTGGCCACAGGAGATCACAGAACCAAATGCTGAATATCTAAGAATTGGTGGAAAAAAAGATAACACCTTCTATCAGAGGTATAATACCCAGATATAAGAAAACAGACATACCTCCTTTAGACCAACATGGCACTAATTGAATCACAGAACTGAACACAAGGAACTGACCCATGGTCAAAAATACCAGCGACATTGGATGGATTGGAGAGAATTCTTAAAACAATAAAGAGAGATTCTGCAGCGGGATCAGATGGTGTGAGATACTTCCAAATCAAAATTATCTATATA